CCATGCATCAGATAATAGGACAGGTGGACAGGTTGTTTCCTTCTCACTTAGAAAGTGATGATGAGCTTAAAGGAATTACAGTGCAGGACTATGTATATGTATATGTATATGTATATGTATATGTATATGTATATGTATATGTATATGTATATGTATATGTATATGTATATGTATATGTATATGTGTATATGTGTTGCATACATATATGTATAAGTATAGACATACATGTATATTATATGTATGTGTATGTATATATATGTATATATATACATAGTTATACGCATACACACCCACAGACACATACACACAGATCTTCAAGGAAGATCTTTTCCAATGACTCCTCTTTCTCAAATAGCAACCCTTCCTTTTGTCCCAGCACACTCTTGCTGCTGCTGCCACCATAACTGACCACTTTGAAGATATTACAACCAGACGTTTAATGGCCTCATGACCTTTTGAAACTTACAAAGTCTCCTGGGCTCATCCGTTTTGAGGTTGCTGTTCAATCACCTATTGACTCTGGAAGATATACTGCTTCCGCTGTTCCCTTACTCTACTCTACCATGAAGTTTTGAAGAATCCTTATGATTGCAAGCCATAAAGAAACAGGAACATTTTGGGAAATGGGGGGGGGGAGGGCAGGGATTTCAGCTTCCTCTTGGTCCTTTTTTTAAAATTTTATTTTTAGGCAATTGAGGTTAAGTGACTTGCCCAGGTTCACACAGCTAGTAAGTGTCAAGTGTTTGATCTAAGGCCAGATTTGCACTCAGGTCCTCCTAACTTCAGGACCGGTGTTCTATCCACTGCGCCACCCACCTCTCCCCTCCCCATTGGTTTTTAAGCCAGAACTGTGGGTATACAGATAAGTGTTAATTAGTATAAATAATGAATTCCATGAAGTTGTCCCATACATTCACACTATTTGAAGTTATAATTATGTAAACTATGGCAGTTTATTCCAGTCCAATTCAAACATGTACTGCAATCCAGATAATGTGACTAATTCATAAGATTCATTATTTGCATTAATTGGAAGGTAGCTAAGTTTTGCCTTGAGAACCAATGGGAAGACTTCACATATATATATATATATATATATATATATATATATATATATATATATATATATATATATATATATATAGAGAGAGAGAGAGAGAGAGAGAGAGAGAGAGAAGAGAGAGAGAGAGAGAGACTAAATCCTATATAGACAGAATCTGTATAGTCTCAAAAAGAGATGGGCAAAACGGCACACATTACACAAATGTGCCCTATAAAAAGGAAAACCAAAGAGAAACTTCATAACAGATAGCTTTATTAGATTTGACATCCAAAGAACTGGGTTCAAATCTAGCCCCTGTCATTTATTAGCTGTGTCTCAAGCCATGAAATGGAGATAACCATAAAGAAACTGCCTATTTCGCAAGATTGTTGTAAAAATGGAGATAAAATATGTAAAGTGCTGGATAAACCACAAGATAGTAAGTACAGGGGAGCTATTAGTATCACCAATAGTAGTTATAATAAAACTTGTCCATTTTCAACTAGCTTTCATCTAGTCTATTTTCATTTGTCTTCATTAAAAACTCATGAAAATATTTTTAAACATCATAAATTTGATAACAGGTTTCTGCCAAACATTTGACATTAAGTCATGAGCTTTTTTTGGGGGGGGGGAGGTGATGTAATCAGGGTTAACTGACATGCCTACGGTGACACAAGTAGTCAGTACTGTGTGTCCAAGGCTGGATTTGAACTTGGGTCCTCCAGACTCCAGGGCCAATGTTCTATCCACTGTGCCACCTAGCTGCCCGAAGGCATAAGCTTTTAATTAATAATTTGCCTGTATATTTTAAGCATTAACAAATTTAATTTATTTTCCATATTTTTTTCCCTATATATATCAGCTAGGTTTTTTTTCTGGTAACACACATTGGCCCTCTCCCCAATAAGTATTTTATATATATATGTATGTATGTATGTATGTTAGAAAATAATTGTGAAATGCATTACTAATTTTCTATCCACAAATCGTACACAGTATAATATGTAAGTAATGATTCTGTTACTTGTTAAATAGGACTTCTAACTAGCCAACCCATAACCCAAATGTAGTCACGATACTATATCATAGAAAATGTTATTGAACATCATATGCCATCTATTTTTTTTTTTGGCTAGACAATAAGGCTAAGTGACTTGCCAGGGGTCAGACAGCTAGTAAATATTATGTGTCTGAGGCCAGATTCGAACTCAAGTCCTCCTGACTCCAGGGCCAGTGCTCTATCCTCTGTGCCACCTAGCTGCCCCTATCATTATGCCATTTAGAGACAGCATTGAGGTTCTGTAGGATATCAGGTACGGCTGATAGAACAGAGAGAGTCTATCCCTTGAAGAAATGTTGACAAGTCATGTCACAAGTAAAACCAACAACATATGGATCATCTGACTTACACACTGCACCAAAAACAGTCCACTATAGAAACCAAAAGATGTATAGGATTAACTTGCATTTTGGTTGTTTGGACAGAAAAAGAAGGAGGAGGAGGAGGAGGAGGAGTACAAGAAGTAGAAAATAGAGAAGAAGGAGGAAAAGATGGACAAGGGGCTTTGGAAACTAATGAAGATGGAGGAAAAGATGGAGAAGAAGAAGAAGAAGAAGAAGAAGAAGAAGAAGAAGAAGAAGAAGAAGAAGAAGAAGAAGAAGAAGAAGAAGAAGAAGAAGAAGAAGAAGAAAAGAAGGAGGAGGAGGAGGAGGAGGAGGAGGAGGACGAGGACGAGGAGCTTTAGAAGCTAAAGAAGATGGAGAAGGAGAAGATGGAGAAGGAGAAGAGGAATTCATGTCATGAATAGAAAGCAGCAGAGAAGCAAAAGTGGGGGGAACAACAAGGCTAGTTTGAGAATAACCTGTTCTATTCCCCTTTGCAGATATTTCCTTATGCCTTGAGGGTTGAATTAATTTCAATGAACAAAAATCTTCTAGCTTCTACTATACATTATATGTCCCTTAAAAACAAAACCAACTTTGATGATCTATTCTAGTGTCATCCTGCAACAGTATCATTATCAATGATATATAGAGAATCAAAATATCTGTGTTGGAAGGGACCTTAAAAATCGTGCGGTCCAGCCTTACAATCAATGTAAGAATTGTTTGAGCACTGCGGTCAGACAACTTCTACTTGAGGGAAATTGTCTCACAAGCAGTCCATTCCATTGCTATAAAGCTTATTTTTCCTTATACCAGCCCAAAACAGGCTGCTTTCATCACTGGTCTTAGCAATCTGTTTTGGAGACTCCCAGTTCTTCACAATGGCCCTTCACATATTTGAAAATAGACATGCCTTCCAGTGGTCTCCTCTATCTTAATCATTCTTAGTTCATCCATATCTCTTCTCTCTGAATTTATCAATCTCCTCTGATGTGTTTTAGGGGTGCAGGGACCCAAAATAACTTGGTTCAGGGCAGAGTCATCTGTAAAGAATTCACAAACTCAAGTAGTCTTCCAGTCCAGGGACAAAAAGTTTATTGTACCACTATTGTGGCAGGCAGAGCTTCTTAGGGAACTCACAACTTAACAGGATTGATGCTAAAGCTTATATAGGAAAAGTTCAGTGAGTGGTGTGCCAAGTTTGCTAATTAGGTGGTGAACATACACTTTCTGTACCTTTTGGCACAGGTGTTGTTCGCTATTGGCATGGCCTGGGAGGAGAACTTCTAAAGAATCTGTACCTGTACACCTCTACATCTATAATAAGATAGCCTGGGAGTTGGGAATTACGTCTATAGCTTGACCTCTAGATTGTATATGGTAGGTCTGCTGGTACAAGATAGTCTTGTTCATACAAGGAAAATTCTACAGAGGTCAGCTTTTTCTTGTAACAGGGAAAGATAGTTTGCCTCACTGGGGTCTACTCATGAATTACTGCCAGAGATAGGGCCTTTGGGCTGGGGAGAGATATGTTCCGAGGACTGGGGTCTGAGCACAAGTACCCCATCACCACCTAATATGTAGCATCCATAATTAAACACAATAGACTGGACTGCATTTCTTCAGCCCAGAGTCAAATGGAATCATCCTTTGGGATTTAAACATTATTATTCTATTACTATAGCCTAAGGATGTTTAATTTTTTTAGCAACTTATGATCAACGAAAACTGACATATCTTTTGTTTTTTCAGTGAACTGTTGTAACCCCTTCCTTCCTACCCTTAATAACAGCATCAATATGGCAATTGTAATTCTGCAGAGGCTGGGCTTGAACCCAGGGCTTCCTGGCTAATGCCAACTCCACCCTCCCTGGACCAGGCTCCCTGTCCCATACAAATCATTCTCCCTCCTCCTGGAAGCAAGAAAGGGGAAGGGATAATCAGAAGAAAGAAGAACTTAGACTGTATTTGTCCCAGGGCACCGAGCAGACCCCCATGACACTTGTTTCAGTCTGGGCTTCACAGAGTCATGAAGGGCTGGAAGACACTTGGGAGGTCATCTAGTACAACGTCTTCATTTGACAGAGGAAGAAACTGAGGCTCAGAAAGAAAAAGGACTTTTTCCATCTTCGCAAAGGCAAGTAACAGAGTGGGTTCCAGGATTCGAACCCGAATCCTCTGAATCCAGATCCAGCACGCTTCCCATTAGGCCACACCTCGTCCTTATCCCCACTACTTTGCTGTGCATCCCTTTTCAGCGCGAGAGAGGAAAGAAGCTGGAGCACCTGAAGCAGCCTGGAGCTCAGCCACTTTCAGATCTAGAGCTTTGGGCCCCTCCCACTGAGAGCTAATGGAACCAGCACATGCACACTCACCTGTGCATGACTTTTCCATTGGGCCCATGCATGACACAGGAGGATCTGATAAATGTATGCGGAATTGTCTGCCTCGAGGCGTTGCCAGGGCTACAACTGTCACTAGGCTTGAATCTTCATAACTGTTGCGCCTCTGGAATCTCTTAACCTCCAGTCTCCGGCCACTGCAGTTCTGTAGCGGAGGCGAGGTCCCTGAGAAGGCTGAAAGGCCAAGAGAAAACCCCTCCCTATTTCTCCCTACCGGCTCTGAAGTTCAGTAGCGAAAATGAAAAAGATTTTCAGTTTCCGCAGAAAGCGAACAGTGAATCCACTTCCAACCTTCGCCCTCAGGAGGAGGGACAGCGGGGTCCAAGAATCCGATCCTAATTCAGGATACCTGATTAGGGCCAAGGACCTGGAGAAGATCCACAAAGCTGCCTCCACTGGGGATGTGGCGAAGGTGCAGCACCAGCTGCTGCTGAGGAAGTCAGGCGTGAACGATCGAGATAAAATGAATCGGTAAGAGGGAGTGGGAAGAGGGGAGAGAAGGGAAGCCTTCCCCCCGGCAGCCTAAGACACCCCCCACGCCTCCCTCCTTGTGCGTCTGTGTGTCTTTACTCACCCTTGGAAAAGCTGTTCCCCTCAGCAGCTGGGACAGGACAGCACCTCCCATCACGGTCAGGCTTTCCCTCCTGGACATTGGATAGTAAGTCCGGAAAGGTGGTGTCACCTCACCTTCCTGCCTGTTCAATTTTAATGAACGGGAAACTCCTTCATTTTACTTTGAGCCAGGGTCCAACCAACTTATATTTTCTCAATGGCAACTTGGGAAAATACTACTCTCTTCTAGTGAAATGTAGTTTTTGAGTCGTTTCAGTTGTGTGTGACTACCCATGACTGTGTTTGAGGGATTTTCTTAGCAAAGATACTAGAATGGTTTGCCGTTTCTTTCTCCGGCTCCTTTTATGGATAAGGAAATTCAGGCAAACAGGGTTAAGTGACATGCCCGGGGTCACATGGGTATCTGAGGCCAGTTGTGAACTCAGGAAGATAAGTCTTCCTGACTCCACGCCCAGCACTCCTGTCCATTCTAGTTGCCTGTCCCATGTGGGGAAACATGGCCACGATATGTGAAGTGTAAAAATGCCAAGGCAGAAAATTAATTTCTGCTTTTATTAAGCATCTGCTATATGTATCAGGCACCCACCTAACTGCAATAGATACGAAGAACTTGGGGAGCGGGGAATGTCCTTGCATTCTAGGAGGTAATCAGAAAGGGAGACTAAGGAGGAGAGGATGGGATACTTAGGAGGAGAACCAAGAAAGAGTAGTGTTACAAAACCTAGAGAGAAGAGAATATCAAGGAGAAGAGTGGTCTAGTTTGAAAGGCTTCAGAGAGGAGAAGGATGAGAACTGAGAAAAGACCATTAGATTTGGCAATTAAGAGAGCATTAGTATCTTTGAAGAGTTTGGAAGCCAGACTGTAGAGTGTTAAAAGAAAATGACAGGAGAAGAAGTGGAGACAGCTGTTGTCAAAGGCCTTCTCCTCACATCTAACCACAAATGGCAAGAGAGATGTGGGATGAGAGTGGGGACAGATTGATCAAGTGATGATTTTTTGAGAATGAGGGAGAGGATATGGGAATGTATGTAGGCTATCAGGGAAGTAATTAGTAGGCAGGGAAAGATTGAAGATAAATAAGAATAGGAATGATAGAGGGCATAACCCATTAGAGGAGATAAGATAGAATGGTATCACTTCTACATGTAGAAGCATTCTCAGTGGCAAGGAGAAGGGCCACCTCTTCCTATGAGGTGGCTGAAGAAGGACATAGTGGCAGAAGGCATTTGTACGTTAGATGAGAAGGAGGTAGGAACAGGGAGGACTCAGGTAATGGCCTCAGTTTTTTCTGTAAAATATGAGGCAAGATTTTTAGTTGAGAAGGTACATAGTGAACCAAGGGAGGTTTGAGGAGGGATTAAAAGGTTGCAAGAGCTGCTCTGGTGAGTGGCATAGGGAATTTACCATGGAGCTAGAATATAAAGTGATTGCCTTGCAGCAGTGAGAGCCCAGTTGAGATTATGTAACATAAATTTATAGTAGATCTAGTAAACACAGTTGTATGATTTTCTCCACCTTTATTGAGTAGCAAGTGTATAGGAAGAAAGACAGTAGAAGGCAGCAGTGATTCAAGGCTGAGGCTTGGCAAGACACAATTGGCGAGATTATAAGGCGGCGACGTACCAGGCTCTTACTTCAAAACCTTGCCATCATGGTAGAACTACCAAAACTTGCACCCTGCTGGGATGGCCTTTAGCAGCACAGATTCACTTCCACTGTCCAATGTCACGTGGCAGTAAGATTTTAGTGGAGAATGCACACACATTTGCACACGTGCTTGTACAAATACACAATATGCAAAGATGTAAATGTTTTTCTGAGGCAGCTGCTTTACTAAATGTTTTGTAATTATGGATGCTCTTAGTGGAAAGAAGTTATTATTACACTTAACAGCCAAGCAGGGTGATGCACACCGTAATCCCAGCTACCAGTGTGACTGAGGCTGGCAGATCTCTTGAACTCATGAGTTTGCAGCTGGTGGGCTATGCCAGAATGATGTCTGCATTGAGGCTGGCATCAATATGGTGAATCCCAAAGTACGAGAGGCCATCAATTTGCCTAAAGGGAGGTGAACCAACTGAGGTCAGAAACTGAGCAGAGTAGTGAATTTTTAATCTGTTTTTGTTTTTGTTTTTACCCCTGGCAATTTTGTCCATCATATCGAGCAAAAAGAGCTAATGCATATTTTATATTTCTTTGGGTGACAGTAGTATCCATTTATATTCATTTTGGCAGTGATTTAGAGTCTAGGCATAAGAATAATAATGCATTTTATGTTAGAAATCACACTAACTAATAAGTGCAAAATTGTGATTGTTGTAATACATTATCAAGCAGTCACATAGCTCTCTCTTTCCGTAGGACACCTCTACACCTGGCCTGTGCTAATGGATATCCAGATGTTGTAGCTCTCTTAGTAGAGAGACACTGCGATCTAAACCTGCTGGACAATGATAATCTAACACCTTTGATGAAGGTATGTACTAGTTAATCATGCTGGTCAATGAAATGCTTTTTGATTTCTCTCTGCTTAAGAAAATATGATTTACAAATCAAAACAACTCTGAGGTACCACATCACACCTATCAGATTGACCAACATGACAAAACAGGAAAATGATAAATGTTGCAGGAGATGTGGGAAAATTGGAACACTAATACATTGTTGGGGTAGTTGTGAAATGATCCAACCATTTTGGAGAACAGTTTGGAACTATGCTACAAAAATGTGCATACCCTTTGATCCAGCAATAGCACTTCTAGGGCTATATCCCAAAGAGATCAAACAAATGGGAAACCCACGTGTACAAAAATATTCAGAACAGCTCTTTTTGTGGTGGCAAAGAATTGGAAATTAAGAGGATGCCCTTCAATTGGGGAATGGCTGAGCAAGTTGTGGTATATGAATGTAATGGAATACTATTGTGCTATAAGAAATGATGAACAGGCAGGCTTCAGAAAAACCTGGAAAGACTTATGTGGTCTGATGCTGAGTGAAGTAAGGAGAACCAAGAGGACTTTGTACACAATAACAGCCACGTTATGCGATGACTAATATTGTTATACTGAATCCTTCTCAGCATTGCAAGGACCTAAGACATCTCCAGAGGCCTCGGGATGGAAAATGCTGTCCACATCCAAAGAAAGAACTATGGAAGTCGAATCGCTATCACTCATTTTTACCTTCTGTTGAGTTTTGTTTCGGCTTTCTGATGGTTCCTCCTATTGGTTTTAATTTTTACTTACAACTTCACTAATGTGAAAATATGTTTAATAGGAATGTAAACGTAAAGCTTATATCAGATTGTGTGCCGTCTTGGGGAGGATGGGGAGGAGGAAGGGGAAGAAATATTTTCAACTCTAAAGTATATGGAAGTGATTGTTGATAAATCAAAATAAATTAATAAAATTAAAAATTTTTTAAAAAGAAAATATGGTTTACTAACTTATTTAAATAACATTAATGATGTTTTAGTATATTAAATTTTTATCTCAGAGCATTAATTGTCTCTTTCTCTGTACTATATTGACAGGCAGTACGGTGTCAACATGAGGAGTGTGCTACTACCCTGCTCGAACATGGTGCAGACCTCAATCTTGTGGACACCGACAACAACACGGCACTTCACTATGCTGCCTTTGGACAGAACACAGCTATAGCAGCAAAGCTGCTGAAACACAACATGGACATTGAGGGAAAAAACAAGGTAGAAACCCACCTTTTGTATAATAAACTATTTTGTGAGTTAAAATGTGCAATCAGGTGGTGTCCAATTCACATATTTTGTAATTCATATATTCATGGAAGCATTTCTTTAATGAAAATAACTTAAAATAATTCTGTAGTCAACGTTCATTGGCCTTTGGAATTTTCTAATAGTGTGGAGGTGGAGGAGGAGGGGTGGGCGAACAAGGGAGGAGATTTTACTCACGTTGGACTTCCTAATGAGGAAACTCCCTCTACTGGTTTAGACTAGGGCCTGCTCTACAATTTAATCTTAGACTAGGGATTGTTACACAAGATACATTATCTTTAAAAAAGCAACAATGACTTAATAGTTGTCTTCATGTAATTGGCCTCCTTCACATTCTATATATTTACGCATTTAAAAACGTTATTCGGGAAAGGAATCCATGATACAATAAAACTAAAGAAACCCTGTCTTTATGGAGTGTCCTAGGGTACTGAAATGTTCCCAGCTAGTATATGTGGGTGAGTGGCAGGCTTTGAATCTAGGTCTTACTGAATTTGAGGCTAACTCTCTGCCCATTCCATCGCAGCTGTCTCTCCAGAATTTTGATTGCATGATACATTAGGTCTGCTCCCCAGAATGCAGTGGTTCCACCAAATATTTGCCTACAATGCTTTTTCTACAAATAGACCTTTACATATGATAACACAATGTTAATTTGTCATGTAGATATGCCACTAATTTTTTTTTAAATCTTTTTAAAATGCGTTCCTACTAAGTATAAAAATACACAGACACAGAAATTTTGCAAGAATAAATTCTTAAGTGTATGTGTTTTTTTCCTATTTCCTAAAGACTATACCCTTTCCTTTCTATAGTTACTGAATAACTCCTAATTTTTAGGAAAAAGGTGTAACTCTTAGTCACTGCCACTTGAGAGAGAAAAAGAAACATAAAGCATACTTTAGGAGGGCTGAGAAGAGAGGAATATGCCAATGAAAAGACTTTCTTCTAGGTTTAATCACCTTAAGGCAAGATTTTCTTAAGTTTTGAGGCTGCTTATACACACTCAAGGGCAGTAGGTAAAGAGAAGTAGGCAAAAGTAAAATTGACCAATGGTATAGCTTTAGCTTCGCAGAGTACTGAGGAAATAAGGTTGGCTGCATGCAGACAATAAGTTATCATGACACAAAGATAGCAAGAACGGAACATACTCTGGAAATGATATGGAATAGTCTCCTATAAATCCTGGGTCTCTATATACTGATCACAAATTTATAGCTGGAAGGAATCCCAGAGGCTCTCTAGTTTCATTCTGTCATTTTACATATGAGGAAACTAAGACCCAGAGAAGTGAAATAATTTGCTTATGATCACACAGGAATTAACTAACAGAAGCAGGATTGGTCTTCTTGCTCCAAAATTCCGTCGTACCATACCTCCTTAACAAATTTTAGCAAGTTCACAGGATGTTCACAAAATGCCTTAAGCTGAATTGATGTATACATATAGAATTTTTACATATTGTAACAATATCTTTAACATGATTTTGCAGGAAGGCTATACACCGCTTGTGGTTGCAATTAGAGAAAATAATCTGCTATGGTAGATTTTTTCTTAAAAAATGGAGCAAATGTGAATGCCACGGATAACACTAAAAGGTACAGTAATTACTGCTTGAAATAAAATAAAGAGAGAAAAGTTTCTAGAATAATAAGAACAACTTAAACCATGGAACACATGGAACAACAATAATCAAAACTGGTTATCATTGTGAAAGGGTGAAAAATGTCCAAAAACATCCGGTATGAAAAGAAAAACTATTATTCTTGACTGCAACAGAGAAAGCAGTTCATGTAGGCCTGCCAATCTTGGTTAATTGGTGATTACTATTTGCAGTTTTATTTATTTGATTTTAAGTTAGTTAAGATTATCCCAAAGAAGTTTTGTACTCTGGTGTTTCAGGTGATTCTCTTTATGAAATAATCTTCATGTCACCCATGAGAATTGTAGTGTGTGTCTTCTCCTCTTCCTTTTTTTGATTTTTCCTTAAGAATATGCACATTGAGAAATACAAACCAATACAAGAATAATACGATGACATACTCTGATGAACCCATGATCTTATCATTGTGGAAACTTGTGCGACTGGTACATATTTGAATCTTTCCATGCCTTCTTATCCTACATGATTTTCATCATTGTCATTCCATAAATCCACTATAGAGGATCCAGGAAACACACTGAAGCTTTCTCCTGGTTCTTTTAATACATGAGGAACAGTGCAGTGAAAATTCTTTCTGGCTTTTATTTTTAATACAAGATTAGGTCATCCTCTTTTTTTTGTTTGTTTGTTTATCCATGTCTTTGAGAATGTCTGTCATACCACTTCCTACATCAAAGTCATTATTGCCTGAAACTCCTTATACTCACCATGCATATTTCCATGGCCTTTGAGATTATCTACAGTTTTGATCCTTCTGAGATTATTTTTGGTTTTTGGATTTTTAAAAAATCACTGTGGCCACATAGCATTCTTGAGAGAATATTGGTGTTTATACAATGAACTTTTGTGGCAATGGAGCCATTGTAAGTGCTGTATAGTTTCTCAAATGAAATTCAGTTGAATCTCCTTTTCCCAATAATTATGAGCCCAGTGCACTGCTGTTCTTCAATACCCATTCAAGCAGTGTGCGTGTGTATTAGGACACATATAAACACCTCTACAAAGATATAGATTGACCAAGTAGATGGGGCTGTCCTTTCAACTCTACGTAATCTAGGAAATATTTACTTTTCATTCACTTTTTCAGGGTGGATTCTTAGACCAATACATTTTGACTAAGTTTGGATTTCATCAAGGAGCTTTTTGTTCCAGGGCTTGATACAATCAGCACAATGTCATCCACAAATAGGAGCATTTGTAAATCTTTGCCATCATATACAATCTCTGTTCTATTTGGATCCTGTCCAGGACATCCTATGTAACACTGGGAAACACCTTAGGTGAGCATATGCCTCACAATTTACATCTAGCTTAATGCTGATACTTACTCATTGAACCAAGTTATCCCTTTGTGTGGCATGGGTCATTGAGCCTTGTATGATTTTAACATTAGCATGTGAGAAACTTGTTTGATATCACCAAAATTGAAAAACAAAACAAAACAAAACAAAAAGACAAGGACCTGACATTATCCTAACACACAAATAGGACTGATTACAATTGTTGGAATAATTTTGGAATTAGTTGTCTATATTCATTCAGATCATCGACTGTCCAGAATAAAGGTCAAAATTAATATAAATGAGAAAAAAGGATAAAGATGAAAAGCAGACAGTAGTCATAGCAGCTGTTTCCTCTTGTGATTAAGCATGCTATCAACTCCCCCAGATGAAATGGACATAGCTATTACCAGTTAACAAGCTGGATTGTCTATATTATTCCTTCTTTGTGCCAATATTGATGACAGTAAGGTTCAATCAATGGCCATCGGGCACCCTCTTATCTTCTCCAAATTTAACACATTCGAGCACTATATATGCTAAGCCCCATGCTAGGCAGTGGACATATGAAATTTCTCAAAAGTTTAATGCAAAGGAGTTGCCTCAAAGAGAAGGCCAAAAGAGCCCAGAAACGGCATCAGCTGGGAGACATAATCTCTGCCAAAAAGAGAGCTATTATGGCTAAGATGAACTCAAGCTTACACTAAAACATAATTTGTAAATAAAATAAAATAAAACAAAATGAAATGAAGAGGAAGAGGATAGAAGATGAAGACCAGTATTGCTTTCCAAAATAATGAAAAGCAGTTGAAGAGAAGATAAACCTGTAGGTTGTTTGACATGAAGCCTAAATCAGATCATCCTGAGAGCATTTGTTTATGAAATTTGAAGAGTGACAATGCATAGATATGAAATAGAACAGAACTACCATTATTTCTATTTTCATTAACACCAACATGGGAACATTTGGGAAAGATTGCTTCCTAAGGAAATAAAAATATATGAATATTAAAAAGTAATAGATTAGATTTTTAGATTTTTCATTGAGCAGATATTTCAAAAGATGTGTGTGGTATCTTTTTGAGCCTTCACTTCTGAATGTTAATTTTTTTAATAGTATTTCCCCACACTTACATGTCAAGACAATTGTTAGCATTTTATTTTTACAAAATTTTGAATTCCAAATTTTTCTCCCTCCCTCGCTCCCCTCCCTTCTTCTGAAACTGGCAAGCAGTTTGATATGGATCATACATGTGCTATCATGTACAATATATTTCCATATTAGTCATAGTTGTGAAAGAAGAAAACAGATCAAAAAGACAAAAACTTGAAAAAGAACAAAGTAAAGGAGAAACTATGCTTCCATCTGCATCCAGAGTCCGTCAGCTCTTTATCTGGATGTGAATAGCTTTTTCCTTCATGAGCTCTTCGTGATCTGACTTATTTCACATCATTGTGCTGCTGAGACGAGCTGAGTCATTCACAGTTGATCATCACATAGTGTTCCTGCTAACTGTGTACAATGTTTTCCTGGTTCTATCATTTCACTTAGATCAGTGATACGAGTCTTTCCACGTTTTTCTGAAATCTGCCTGCTCACAATAGTATTCCATTATATTCATACACACAGCTTATTCAGTAATGGGCATCCCCTCAATTCCAAATATTTTGCCACCATTAATAGGGTTGTTATAAATATTTTTGTACATGTAGGTCCTTTTCTGTTTTTTATAATCTCTTTGGGATACAGAACTAATAGTGGTATTACTGGATCAAAGAGTGTACACAGATTGGTTGCCCTTTGGGCATAGTTCCTAATTGCTTTCCAGAATGGTTTTATCAGTTCACCACTCTACCAACAGTGTGTCACTGTCCCCAGTTCTCCACATCCTCTCAAACATTGATCATTTTCATTTTTTGTCATATCAGCCAATCTGATAATTGTGAGGTGGCACCTCAGAGTTGTTTTAATTTGCATTTCTCTAATCCAAAGTGATTTAGAGGACTTCTTCATATGCCTGTGGATCACGTTGATTTCTTCATCTAAAAACTGCCTGTTCCTATCATTTGACTGTTTATTATGGGGAATGATTTATATTCTTACAAATTCGACTTAGTTCTGTATATATTTGAGAAATGAGATCTTTTTCAGAGACGCTTGCTATAAAGATTGTTTCCCAGCTTTCTGCTTTCCTTCTACTCTTCGTTTTATTGGTACAAAAGCTTTTTATTTGAATATAATCAAAGTAGTCTATCTTACATTTCATAATGCTCTCTATCTCTTATTTGGTCATAACTTCTTCCCTTACCCATAGATCTGACAGGTCACATTCCTTGATTCCTCGCTCTTCTAATTTGCTTTTGGTGTCATCCTTTATGTCTAAATCATGCACCCATTTTGACCTTATCTTGGGATACAATGTGAGATGTTGGTTTATTTCTTATTGTTTTTGAGTTTTCTGATCAGTTTTTGTGAAATAGTGAACTCTTTTGCCATAAGCTGGGGTCTTTGCGTTTATCAAATACTAGGTTCCTGTGGTCATTAACTATTGTCTTTTGTACCTAATCTATTCCATTGATCCACCACTGTATTTCTTACATACAAGATTAGTTTTGATGATTACTGCTATATATCTGGTATTGCTAGGCCACCTTTCTTTGTACTTTTTTTTTCATTAATTCCCTTCATATTTTGACCTTTTTTTCTTCCAGATGAATTTTTGGTGATTTTTTTTTTAGTTCTGTCAAATACTTTTCTTGGCAGTTTTATTAGCACTGAATAAGTAAATTGGTTTGGCAGACTTGTGATTTTTATTATGTTGGCTTTGCCTACCCATGAGCAATTGATATTTTTCCCATTGTTAGATTTGACTTCATTTGTATGAAAAGCATTTTGTGATTGTGTTCATACAGTTCCTGGGTTTGTCTTGGTAGGTAGACTCCCAAGTATTTTGTATTGTTTACAGTTATTTTGAATGGAATTTCTCTTTCTATTTCTTGCTGCTGAGCTTTGTTGGTCATAAAAAAGAATTCCTGATGATTTACTTGGATTTATCTTATATCCTGCAATTTTGCTGAAGTTGTTAATTATTTCATGTACTTTTTCAGTTGATTTTCTAGGATTCTCTAAGTATACTCTCATATCAGTTGCAAAGAGCGATAAATTTGTTTCCCTATTGCCTATTCTATTTCCTTCAATTTCTTTTTCTTCTCTTATTGCTATAGCCAGCAATTCTAGTACACTATTGAACAGTAGTGGTGGTAATGGGCATTCTTCCTTCACCTTGATCTTATTGGCAGGGCTTCTAGCTTATCTCCATTACAGATGATGCTTGTTGAAGGTTTTTGATAGATACTGCTTGTCATTCCCCTTATTCCTATCCTCTCCAGTGTTTTTAATAGGAATGTGAGCTATGATTTGTCAAAAGCTTTTTCAGCATCTGTTTAGATATTCATATGATATCTGTTGGTTTTTTATGGATATGGTCAGTTGTGCTTATAGTTTTCCTAATACTGCACCAACCCTGCATTCCTGGTACAAATCCCACCTGGTCGTAGTATATAATCCTTGTGCTAAGTTGTCGCAATTGCCTTCCTAGTATTTTGCTCAAAATGTTTGCATGGATATTCACTAGGGAAATTGATCTACAATTTTCTTTTTCTCTTTTAGCTCTTCACGTTTTAGATATCTGTACCACATTTTTTTGTCATAAAAGGAGTTTATTATGACTCCACTTATTTTTCCAAATATTTTACATATAGTAATTCATTGTTCTCTGAGTGTTTGATTGACTTCACTTGTGAACCACTCTGGCCCTTGGGGATTTTTTCATACTGAATTCATTAATGGCTGGTTCAGTATCTTTTTCTAAGATGGATTTATTTAGGCATTCTGTTTCCTGATTATTAATCTGGGTAATTTATATTTTCAAAAATATTCATTGATTTAGCTCAGATTGTCAGATTTATTGACACATAATTGGGCAAAGTATTTCCTAATGATTGCTTTAATTTCTTCTTCCTTGACGATGATTTCACTCTTTTCATTTTTGATACTGGTAGTTTGTTTTCTTCTTTCTTTCTTTTTTTTTTCAATCAAATTAATCAATAGCTTATCTGTCTTCTTCTTTTTTCATAAAGCTTGCTTCCAGATTTATTTGTTAGCTCAGTAGTTTTTGTTTTTGTTTTTTGCTTTTAATCTTACTACTCACCTTTGATTTTCAGAATTTGGCATTTGGTTCAGTTGGGGATTTTTTATTCATTTTTTCTAGTTTCCTTTTCTTTTGTTTATTTATTTTAGTTGGGAAAGCAATTAATTGATCCCATCTTTTTTATGTTTTGTTGAAGTAAAAATTTAGAGAAATAATTTCTCCCCTAAGCACTGCTCTGGCTGTATCACATCCATTTCAGTATGGTGTCTCATGGTTGTCATTCTCTTTAATGAAATTACTGATTGTTTCTATGATTTATTCTTTGACCTGCTTATTGTTTAGGATTAGATTATTTTGTTTCCAATTAACATTTAATCTGTCTTTCTCGCACCCTTTGGTGAAAGTGGCTTTAATTGCATTATAATCTAAAAAGAATACATGTGATATTTCTGCCTTTCTACTTTTGGTTTTGAAGTTTTTATGCCATAATACATGGTCAGTTTTTTTGCTTAGGTAACATATGCTGTCAAGAAAAAGGTATATTCCTTTCTGTTCCCATTCCGTTTTCTCCAGAGCTCTGTCATATCTAACTATTCTAATAATCTATTTACCTCTTTAGTTTCTTGAGTGTTTATTTTTTGGTTGGATTTATTGAGTTCTAAGAGGAAGCAGTGGAGGTCCGCCACTAGCATAACTTTGCTGTCTATCTCTTTCTCTAACTCATTTAACTTCTCTTTTAAGAATTTGGATGCTATACCACTTGGTACATATATGTTTAGAATTGATATTGCTTCATAGTCTATGGTATCTTTTAGCAAGATGTAGTTTCCTTCCTTATCTCTTGTAATTAGATCTATTTTTGCTTTTAATATTTCTGAGATCAGGATGGCTACTCCTGCTTTTACACTTAAGCTGAAGCATAATGTATTATGCTCCAATCTCATACCTCTGCTCTGTGTGTATTTCTCTGTTTCAAATGTGTTTCTTGCAAATGACATATTGTAGTATTCTGGTTTTTAATCCATTCTCCTACCTGCTTCCATTTTATGAAGAGTTCATGCCATTACATTCATGATTATGATTATTAACTGAGAATTTCCCTCCATCCTATTTTTCTTCTTGTTTCCTCTCTCTCCTTTCACCCTTTACCTCTTCACCAGTGTTTTGCTTCTGTTGAACACCTCCCCTGATCTGCTCCCTTCTGTCAGTTCTCCCACCCTCCTCCTACCTTAATTTCATATTCTCCCCTCCTACTTCCCTGTTCGGTAACATAGATTTCTATATTCAAATGATTGTCTATATTATTCCTTCTTTGTGCCAATATTGATGACAGTAAGGTTCAATCAATGGCCATCGGGCACCCTCTTATCTTCTGCAAATTTAACACATTCAATCTCTCCTTTCCTTCTGCATTCAGTATACTCCTCTTTGTCATAGCTTAATTATTTTCGTGTTATTCCCTCAAATTCACCTTATATTCATAATTCTGTCTATGTATCTTCCTTCTAGCTGTACTATTATTGACATGATTTTTAAGAATCAAAGTATTATCTTCCCATGTAGGGATGTACACAGTTTAGCTCTACTGATTCCCTTATGTTTTCTCTTTTTCCCTGTTTATGCTTCTCTTCGATCTTGATACTGGAGATCAAATTTTTGGTTTAATTCTGGTTTTCTACTTATGAAAACTGTGTAGGATCCCAGGAGAAAGTCCTTAACTGTTGCACACACAAGGCTTTGACAAACTGTCTACTTGTCTGTTATGAAGCCTTAAATTTGACAATCCCCATAAAAACTCTAAGGGGACAAAAAAATTCTTTCTTTCTTTTCTTCTGCTTTTAATTGCATTTTTCCTGCTTCACATAAGCAATAAAAGTACTCATATCCATCACTAAGCATGCTCCACATGGATATTCACTCTAAAGAATATGAGATATTCTCTTGTTGAAACATAAAAAAATCTGATTAGATATGACTTTTTAAATTCTTAAATGTAAATTGTTTCTTTGTTATTATAGGACACCCATCATGCATGCTGCCATTGGTGAACCAGTAGGCATAGTGAGTCTTCTTCTTCAATATGATGTTGATGCCTCTTGCCGAGATAAATCTCGATGGACAATTTACGACCATGCCAAAATCGGTGGTCGCGCAATGTAAGTTCTAACATTATAGTTCTAATTATCTTTATACAATTTCATTTAAAAGGTTTTTTTTCCTCTGTATAGTTGAGACTGCCGGGGACTTTCATAGTTGCATAAAATAGCAAGCATCTGACAAGCATACTTCAAGTCACTAAGAAGAAATTGGGCAAATGGCAAAGTTAAGTTGTCCAAATTTAGGAGGACATGAGCAAGAGACAGGGTACAAAGTAGAGTCAGGTAATCTGAGATCAGAATTTTCAGAAATAATAATGATGAAACCTGCCATTTTTATAATTCTTTAAGGTTTTCCAATGTTTTACATACACTTTATTATTTGATCTTCACAAAAGTTCTGTAATTTATTATACTGTCTGATTTAGAGAGGTAATTTTTGTTTGTTTGTTTTTTAACCTTTGCTGACACCTCTCAGTTATAGTAGACCTAAAGTTAGTTTTAGGGAAAATCACAATATGTCTTAGATGCCTTCAAAGGAGTGATAAATGAAAAGAATAAATCATAAATATTAATAGTCAACATTAGAATTTATAGAGTGGCAGTTTGGTACAGGGGAAAGAGTGCTCAATTTGGAGTCAGAGGACCTGGGGACAAATCATGCCTCTCACTATATGTGTAATGTTGGACAACTGTTACCTTCTCTGGGACTCAGTTACTTAATCTATAAAATAAAGAGATTAGAGTAGATGACAAATATAGACCCTTTCAGTCCTAAACTTATAGTTCTATAATATTGTGACTCTTAAGATAAGTGTATCACATCTAGATTGAATGATTGGTTATGCTCTACAGACTTTATGAAAACAACATTTTTTTTTGGTGATAATCTGATTATGTAAGGTTTGAGATACACCAATACTTGGTGCATATAATTTTTATCTTTGTTGATGTAGACTTAATATGTTTTATATTTTATTTTATACATAGTCATTATAAACTAATTACTGAGTATGGAAGACAGAAGGGACTTTATCAGTCCCATTCAACCCTAACCAGCAGTTCAGAGAGTGCTTTTGATCCAGAATTTACTTTGGGTGCAGCTGCCATGGATCAAATAGGTAAGACTTAAAAACCTGAAGAAATAGTGACTTTAGAAAATAATGAAAGAGCAATCTTAAAATTCATATATACTTTTTTCTGTTTCCATTTTATACTTTAAATGGGTAGGAACTTATTTATTTTTGATTAGTTACTTAATTATCCTTGTAGGTTCACTATCCTGAAGCCATTTACTAAAAACAGCCACAAGATCTTTTGTGTTATTATTATCTGCTTTATCCAAAAATTTCTTTATGTAGGCTCCAATACAATTTTCAGGTTTCTAAATTATTCTAAATATATTTAACCAAATTATATGAAAAGTCTTTAATACTTTTAAAATATATTATATTTAGCAATATAATTTATTTCTGATTCTTAAATATGGAAAAAATAAATAATAAATATGAGACTCCTATAACTGTAGCATGCGTACCCATACTTACATACACACACGGACAGAGGGACTGTATGAATATATAAAGATAGAACAGAAAAAGAACAAGAGAGCAGAGCCTACATTCTTTTTTAGAACTCTGTAAATCACTTGTCCAAGCTTTGGAAATATATACATTTTAAACCTTTTCAAAATTTTAAAAGGTTCATAAAGCTTTTGCTTTATTCTAAGGAAAATACAAAACCCACAGGATTTAGAGGGACCAGGGAATAGAGATTTGAAAGGAAATGCATATAACCATAGATTTTTGGTCAGTATTTGCATCACTTTGTGATTCAGGTAGTTAAACTTTAGACAGGAGAAGATTTTCTGACTTACCTCCTAACATTTAATCCTACCGGCTGGGCCATTTGGAATCTTAATGATCTGGGCTTGTAATAATAAATTCATCTCACATTTATAAGACTTTTTTTTTCAAATCAGTTGACCTATTACCTTGTGTGAAAGATAGTGTGGATATTCTGGTTGCTCTCATTTGAATGGTGATGAAACTGAGGAGCACAAAGCTTCGATGATGTGCTCATGCTAGCAGAGCTAAAAGGAAAGAGTTATCATGCCCTCTTAACTACTGTACATTACATTATATATCAGGAAGAGATGACCTATGTAAACCTTCCTTAGAAGAAATGAGAAATCACAATGGCAGAAAAGACAGTATTAATTTTAAGTATACATTACTACTGCCTAAAAAGGTTATATTCCAATAAAATATTTTAATTCCCTATAGCTAGTCATGTCACAACTGAACCTCACTTTCCCTCATTTTGTTCATTGTAAAGCAGTCTTATCTATAGCTACATACATGAAATTGTTATGACAAACATTGAAGTTCAAAAAAGTGAAGTTCTGTTCCTCAATAAGCAATAGTTTTACATGTTAACTACATATAAAATTTTGAGCACATTTTTAAAAAAATTCTTAATCCAATTTTAATAAAAACAATTATACTAAGTAATCTCATTGAAGATGTAGTGTCTATGAAGTTAATCAAGAAAAAGTTATAGTCTAGAACACAATTAAATATAAGGACATTGAAGAGTATGGCTTATTAGTGATAGATAAAGCTATTCATAAATATGTTCAAGGAAGATATCAGAAGGTAAACATTGACTTTATGAAATATATAGTAACCAATAACATTTTCTATACAAGCCAAAATCATAATGTATGTATAAATATATTAATGTTAGAATTGTAAAATGTTAAAAGAACTAGGGATAGGAATAAAAAGAAAAATTAATTACAATTATTTGCTATTACAAAATATATCTGCTTTCCTTCAAATACTCATCTTTCACTATGAGACATTTATTTTTTCCACCTCATTTTCTGTTCATCAAAAAAAATGGTAAAAATTCATCATTTGATTGGTAACTGCAGCAGTAATGGCATCGCTTATCCCTTTATTAGACTCAAAATTGGTGATCTCTGAGTTCTTTTGAACTTTTGAGGAATCATTGAGCTATTGTCATAAACCTCATATCTTCATTGTTTTGTAGTGAACCTTAGAGTAATAATAAAGTGACAACTGTTTTCTTTGACTTTTACTAATAGTGAAACTTTTGCATGTTTTTTTTTTTTTTGTAAATCATATTGTCCAAGGGAACCAGGCATTTACATTAAAAATGAGTATGCTAGAGCCCTGGTCCTGGGGCCTAGTAGTCTTTTTCACTTCCCTGAAACCAACATTTGCTTTCTTACCATTATTTATTTCATTCTTTTGTACCCATTAATCGTGAATAACCCCAATTTTACCAAAAAAAAAAACAACAACCCAGAATTCATGAGTTTTCTAGTACGTTGGCAAATGATGATATTCTGGGGTTGATCACCACCCTAGATATTTCTTCTGGTTACTTTGATATTGTAATTCAGGTTTATGGTAGAAAAGCCACAAGGTATCCAAAACATTGGATTCCAAAGTGTTTTTTTTCCTGCTCTCTAAAAATTGATACTGTATTTGCTCTTTGTGCAACCATAATTTTAATTGTGCAATACCATCTTCCTACACAAATCAACATGGATGATACTATGAACCACTGAATGATAAAGGCCAACAAGTCAAAGATATCCAAAAGATATCCTTCTCAACAAAGACAAGGCTGTTGTGTAGATAGATAAGCCAGGAAGGATTTAGGACCAGTGGTTTAGTACTGCCTCTGCCACTAACTACCTCCTTCATCTCTTTGAACCTCAGTTTCCTTTTGTTTCTATTTACAAATATGAAGTGAAGGGTTTGAAATGCCCTCTGAAATTCTGTCTCTTCTAAAAGACCATGCTACTTCATGTTTTAATACCATTGATTTTAAGTATTTTTTTAATCAGAACATGAATAATATGGCAAGTTAGCTACAGTAGTATTCATCATCTGTTGTCTACCTCCCTGATAAAACATTTTATGCCACATGAATGTAGTCTATAGCATAACAAACACATCCCCCTTTAAATGTACATTTTATCATTTCAAATATTTCTATGACTTTTCCCCATAAGGGCATTTAAAACTTTATTCATAATTTGTAAATCGCTTAGGTTATAAAAAACCACTTCAGTACATTGCAGACAAATTGTAAATGTCTAATCTACTTGAAGTAATAATCCATATAAGATAAGGAGACATACTATAATTTTCAATAGAACAGAATCTAGCCTGACCTAGATGAAAAAAAGGCATTTTGCTTTCCAATTAGTTTTCATATATACACCCTTTTTTTCTTCTTGATTTTTTTTCTTAATTTTTAATTAATTTATTTTTAGTTTTCAACATTCACTTCCACAAGATTTTGAGTTCCAGATTTTCTCCCCATCTTGTCCCTCCCTCCACCCCAAGATGGCATGCATTCTGAATACCCCTAATCTGCCCTCCCTTCTATCTCTACCCCCCTTCTCTTATCTCTTTCCCCTTCAATTTTCCTGTAGGGCAGGATAGATTTCTATGTCCCATTTAATGTATATATTATGCCCCAGTTGCATGTGAAAACATTTTTTTAAAATTTTTGTTTTAAAAATTTTAGGTTCCAAATTTTCTCCCTTCCTCCTTCCCCATCCACCCTCATTGAGAAGTCAAGCATATTGATACGAGTAATATATGTGTAGTCATGCAAAACCCTTCCATAGTAGTCATATTGTGAAAAACTAAGTATATTTCCCTTCATCCTACCCCCCATTTATTCTATTCCCTTTTTGACACTGTCCCTCCTTAGAAGTGTTTGCTTCTGATTATCCCCTCCTCCATCTGCCCTCCCCTCTGTCATCCTCTTGCTCTTTTGTCCCCTTCCCTCCCTTTTCTGTAGGGTAAGATAGATTTCTATACCCAATTGATGTGTATGTTATTCTCTACTCAAGCCAAATCCAATGAGAATAAGATTCACTCATTCCCTCTCACCTTCCCCTGTTTCCCCTCCGCTGTAAAAGCCTATTCTTGTCTGTTTTATATGAGATAATGTACTCCATTCTACCTCCCCATTTCTTCTTCTCCCAGTATAATCCTCTCTCATGCCTTAATTTTATTCTCCAGATATCCCCCTTTCATGTTACCTTGTATCATCTGTCTATCTATCTATCTATCCATTTATCCATGTACATACACACACTTATATATGTATATATATTCACCTCCAACTGCTCTAATACTGACAAAGGACTCATGTGTTACAAATATCATCTTTCCATGCAGAATGTAAGCAGTTCAACTTTAATAAGTCTCTTATAATTTCTCTTTCCTGTTTACCTCTTCATGTTTCTCCTGAGTCTTGTATCTGAAAGTCAAATTTTCTAATTAGCTCTAGTGTTTTCATCAAGAATGCTTGAAAGTCTGCTATTTCACTGAAGGTCCACTTTTTACCCTGAAGGATTATACTCAGTTTTGCTGGGTAAGTGATTCTTGATTGTAATCCTACCTCCTTTGCCCTCCAGAATATCATATTCTAAGCACTCTGGTCCCTTAATGTAGAAGCTGCTAAATCTTGTGTTATCCTGATTGTGTTTCCACAGTACTTGAATTGTTTCTTTCTGGCTGCTTGCAATGTTTTCTCCTTGACCTGGGAATTCTGAAATTTGGCTACGATATTCCCAGGAGCTTTCCTTTGGGGATCTCTTTCAGTAGGTGATCTGTGGAGTCTTTCAATTTCTATTTTGCCCTCTAGTTCTAAAATATCAAGGCAGTTTTCCTTGATGATTCCTAAGATGATGTCTAGGCTTTTATTTTTATTTATTTATTTATTTTGATCATGGCTTTCACATAGTCCAATAATTTTTAAATTCTTCTCCTGGATCTATTCTCCAAGTCAGTTGTTTTTGCAATGACATATTTCACATTGTTTTCTCTTTTTTTTTTTGTTCTTTTGGATTTCTTTTACAGTGTCTTGGTTTCTCATAAGGTCACTAGCTTCCAATTGTTCCATTCTAATTTTTAAGGAAGAGTTTTATTCAGTAAACTTTTGGACTTTTTTTTTCCATTTGGCCAATTTTGCTTTTTAAGGCATTCTCCTCATTGGCTTTTTGGACCTCTTTTGCCATTTGGGTTAGGCTATTTTTTAAGATGTTATTTTCTTCAGTATTTTT